TCGTATGATTTCCGTCTAATAATGTAATATCAGAGAAGACAATAGGTACGATCTTCTAAGATCTTACCATATGATTGGTTGACCTGAAATCATTCGAATAATTGCTCACCTAATAGATAATCAATAATATCGATTGAGTTTCGTTAGTAAAAATTAAAGAAAAAAGCGAAGTAAACAATTTTTGGATGTTATATCGCCTATAGGTAAACGAATGTATTAGACCTCTGTATAGTGTAAATATTATATTAAAATTGTTTCGTTGAATTTTTCTAAAACATTTTACTTTTAGATGTAAAAAAAAAAGATTGATATTATTTTTCATTGAATAGGAAATAAGTTTGAATCTCCTTTTAATTTTTTTCGAATTTTCTAAATATTTTCTTGTTGCGATAATGAATAACTAAAATAGTCTCGAACAGTTAAAAATGTTCCTGATCAAATATGTCGAATATATTATTGTTCTATCTGACATTTTCCAGGAAAACTTCCGCCAATATAATATTATATTACTTTTAGACAAGTAGATTATTTCTATAGCATAGTCAATAGATAGATAGTTAGCGATTGAATTAACTCTGCGATCATAGAACAAAACTAAAATAATTTTCTTTACAATATAAATGAAAACTTCTCTTGGTTAACAAATGTCATGTTTCCCTGTAAAAAATATCAAATCTGTTCCAGTCTTAGTTGATATCAAACCAGTTTCAGTGAAAAAGAGTTTGCTAGAATCATGTTATACACCGAAATACTGGAGTTTTTTCCTACTAATTCAAAATTCAGTCTTCATAATACATACCAGAATAGTCCTCACATCGTGAACCATCATAAGAAATTGGACAGCGACAAATAAATTTTGGACCGCTTGCAGATTCTTCGACATCACAAGTCCCTCCATTGTGACATAAATCTGGTACATAACTGCATAGAGGGTTGATTGGATTATTTTCAGTAATTTGTTTAAATTTGATTCGAGTATTTCTATTTGTTGTTCGAATCATTTGACAACGTTCTCCATCAAATTCAGGCAAACAATAGCATCGGGGATTATTGTTAATAATTAAGCAAAGAGCATCATTTGAACAATAATTAACACATTTATTATTTATATCATTTGATGGATATCCATTTGCCAACGATATAAGGAATATTATACCCGAAATGATAAGAGAATATCGGTTAAACATTTTGATTTTTTTTTGAAAATAATTTTTGTTTTCGGATTTGTCGAGGATGCTGTTTATATAGAATTATTTATTTACAAAAGAATTTATTATATTTTCATATTTTAAACGATTCATATGAGAATATTTGACGATAACAACATGCATAAGTCGATAAATCTACGTTTATTGTTAATATAGTATTAACTTAGTGTATTTTTTATGTATGTAAGTTTATTTAAAATAAACTAAAGATCAATAATTAATCGGTAAGTAATCACAAATTTACTAGAACGTTTGTCTTTAGCTTTAAATTTAATCTTTGTTATCACTCATATTTAATGTCCTTGAAAATCAAATAAAAAAACATGTTTTTCATTTTTTTCCTAGCAATAACGCTTTAATGCATGAATAGCATCGTCAACAGCTTATGAGAAAAACTATCCATATGAAATGTAAAAAAGTACATCGGATCTGTATTCAATAGTTTTGTTCGATTTAGAAGTTTCCGCAAACGACGTTCATTGATAAAAAATATCAAAAAGATCTCAGCCGTGAGAATTACTAAAAATATTTAATAACTATTTCAATCGCCATAGTATAAAACTAAATACTACATTTTTAAGAGCTTTTGATTCGTACGAGAAATTTCTCCTAATTTTCTTATCTGACTATTGATGAGTACCTTCTCTTACATCATGTTTTTTCTTCATATTTAAAAACTTTCCGAAATAGTCGTTTATACAGCTTGAAAGTTCGATTTTAGTAAGTTATATTAACATTTCAGTTCAGTTCAGTCTTGAGTTGTGTCATTTTCATTTAATTATTAAAACTCAACAGAAAGAAATTCTAAATTGGCAATGAAACGTCTGTAGACAACGAAAAGTTTTATCGAAAAAGTCAAATCTCATAGAAATTCTAGGCGAATATCAATCATGTTCAGACATGGCTGAACATACTGCGTTCAGTGTCGAACACACTATCAGAGTTCGGATTGGTTTTATTTAGAACTAAGAAATTTAAAAAAAAAATACGAAAACATTCTCTCGTGAGTTCTGAAGGCTAGGACTTTGGTGCACAGCGCCGTTGAACTTTTAACAGATTTAGACGTTGAATTCTTCTCGGGTTGCTTCCGTTTTAATAGAGATCTATAAATAATTTCGTGCACAAACTTTTTTCCGTTTAAAATTCATTGTCGAACAGTTGATAGAATCAATTCCAACGAAATATTTTTTTATTCTTCGAGTTAGTTTAAATTATCTGACATATATTCGTTGATTCGTTTTTCATTAATCAATGTGTCGATTATATTCAATTGATTCAGAAGAAAGAATTTCATTAAGAAATTTTTTTAATTAGTTTATTTAGTATTGAGTATCTTCGAGCTTCTTTACAACATAATTATAATAAAAGTTGATTGAATGTTTTTAAAATGAAAATAAATGTATATGTCGAATCGATGTCTTTTTCACGAATAGTAAAAATAGTTTTTATTGTTAAAATAATATCACTTTAACTGACCTTTGCTTTACGAAATGAATATCTAATAATTATTTTATATTTATGGATTTCTCTAAATGATAAGAAATCTTCGATATAATATGTATTTTTAAGTTTATTCGAAAAATATTTATTATAATAAACAAAGCATTAAAGAGAATTCTTTTTTCTTGCTTTTCATCAATATAGAATAATATTCAAAATTTTATTTATACATAATTAATAAATATAAATTGATCAATTCGATGTACTTGATATGAAAATCTAAATATGAAAATCATTTTTTACGAAAGTAATGTTATTTTTTTTGTAAATTATTTTTATTTTATTATTATTTATATTTAATCTAGATTCATATTGATCATGTTCATTCTTTTAACTTTTTCATATTTATCAAAATGAAGGTCTTCATCGATATTTGTTATGAATTATCACAATAGACAAAGAATATCAATAACTCTCTTATATCTAAATGATTCTATGCATAAAATCTTCAAGTTAAATTTATTTTGAAGAATACTTTAAATGTACATATATTGTTAAAAGTTGCAGTTTTATTAAATATTATCTCTTAATGAATGAAATATATCAACAACATATTTTTTCATTAGATGATAAGGAATATTCGAAGATTTCCAGTAGAAGACAGCCGACGATTAGAGCTCAAAGCTAATCGATTCTATCAATCTTATGGTCAAATTTCGGAACACTTTCAGCCATCGATCATATGTATTGGATAACATCTCTACGAGTAACATCAATCATTTGGACTATTTCCAATTATTCTACTATTTTTTCATTCAGAATTAATTATTACATACATCGATCGAATCTCTCGTAGTCTATTAGTAGACATATTTCTATCTGAGAGAAATTTAAACAAAAGCAAAAAGTTTTTCCTATCAATATACTTAAGATATGACAAAAATAGTGCTAAACGCACCTCAATATCGTACAAAAGCTTTGAAAAAAGTTTCTTTGAACATTTGCTAATAGTAAAAATAATGATCTATGCTTGTGCACGATTTCATCATTGCTGAATTAATATCATGTTAATTAAATTTTGATAAAACTGATTTGTTATGATATGGGATGAAAAGACCAGCGTCTATTTCAAAGTCAAAAGTCAAAAGAAGTTCCTTCAAATGAACTTTAATAAAGAAAAAATCAAAAGGTGCTGTTGCCACCTTTGGAAAGCGATGATAAAGATCGATCAAATCGTATATGACACTTTTTTTGAAGATTTTTAATTGGTATTTTTTAAAATAAATCTTCTCTATGCAAGGTTTTAAGCGCATTATTTATAATGTTGTATACGTTCAAATTGGTACTCAAACATATAGAAAAATGCCCAAAGATTCAAATGTTTCGATTTAATCATTCAGAAATTACAGGCATTCTACTTTAAACTTCATGTTGATTCTTATAGATACTACAATAGGATACATCGATCATTTTCAAGGACTTATTTCACAAAAATTTATTAAATAACTTCAAAAGATATATTAGAAAAAAGTGTAATTTACGATTGAAGAAGTCTTCATCTCCTCGATCTAAAGACGAACATTGCACCGTTGTATCTTGTTTCTATCAAAAGTTATTTTTAAAAACCCATCTTTTTTTTTGTTCTTTGAAATAATCATCAATCTTATTAGCACATATAATAACAACCAGCTCTTATGGAAATTTTATTGTTTTGATATTAATTGAACACTGATGAAATACTATATAAATATAGATCATTTTCTTTTTATTATCAGTTAATTTAGAGACAATATTTTCTAAAACTTTCTCTATGAAACAAACGTATCACCATTACTAATTTTGCATTGTTCGAACTATTTTAGATAGATTGAAAGAGAAACCTCGTCGTAACTAATCACTTGTAAGAAGATTTAAAAAGATCTAACAACTTCTATTTTTCGTTTGTTGCTTGTAAAAAGTGTTCATTGTTTGGTAAACATTTCATTTCCAATTAAAATTTTCTTTCATGGACACCATCCGTACTTTTCAAATGTATCCACTATCACAAGATTAACTGTTTTTCAAATGAAAAAATCTTTTTTTTTCAACAACCATCATTTTATGATGTGTATTTTGTCAAAATATCGCAATGAAAAAAAAACAAGCAACAAAATAAAATAACCTGTATCTAAATGACAAGAATCAAGTAAAAATTAGTTTATATAAATTCTGTCAAGCATTCAACTTTTGTAAGTTAATTTTTCAAGATAGGATCATACGGTGACTAATATATAAGAAAAATATTAATTGACGATGGCCAAAAGAAAACCAAGAATGTCGATTAGTGTTTGTATCGAATAAAGTTCAATGATATTAATTTTTTTGATTTTTATTCGATTGATCTTGAACAGAACTTGTAATAACATGTGCAAGTACACCAAATGGAATAGCCATTAATGCACCTTTTGTTGCTGATAATGGACTAAATTTTGATGGTAAACCAATAATAAGTCCACTTAATCCACCAGCTATCGAAAATGTAAAGGCATATTTATCAACACGTTTTTGACTTTGAGAATATCTTAAACGATATGCTCTATCCCATATTTTATATTGATTATATTTTTCGTTATATAATTTTGCATGCATCAGACCTAAACTAAAAACAACTCCAACAATAGCACCATATATTGATGCTGTTCCAACACGACTTAATATTGAAGTAAATGATAGATTTTTTCTTGATTTATATAATTGATAAGGTAATACCGTTGCTATTGTTACTGTAGGTCCTAATTCAAGACCTTTATAAATACAATGTAAACTTAATTCACGTAAAGAATGAGGAATCAATGCACGTTGTTCATCATCTAAATCTTCCATTATTTAAAATGAAAATTATTCTTTAAACGTCAACACAACAAAATATATCTATCTAAAACAAAGTCACCTTTTTATTTTCTATTGTCTTAAAGATTGTTGCCTTTTTTTCTTGTTCTCTCTTATGTATGTCACACGATGTATTTTGACCCATCATAACAACAGAGAAAAAAAACCAAGAAAGAGAACGATTGATCTACACACTGATGCATAGAATACCCTTGGTTTTTTTTTCTAAATGTATTTTGGCAAGATTTTTTTCTAAGCCCATCATTATTTAAGATTTATATAAAATTTCAATAAAAATGAATGCTTGCTGTTTTAAGATATATAAATAGATGGTTCTCTATGCTAATTGATTGGGATAGATGATTATTATTGCCCACTATAGAGATGACGCTAGTTAATCATCATACTATCAATATAGAAAAATTGGTACATGT